TGAAACAGAAGTGGAAAGCTGTAAACACAACACATACATTATAGTCACATGTTCTGTGATTAAACTATTTGAGGTTTGTAACATCTAAGGGACAAAGTAAAATTGAGACTATGTTTGTAGGAAAATTACTTTTTTGGAGTCAAAGATTCCAGGGATTTCTGTCTGAGATCTTGTGCAAGCTCCATGTTAACTTGCCTGATTGCAGAGGTTAGGACAATAAATCTCTGCGCAGGCAGGAGCCCACGAGGTCCTGGGACGGAGGAGGACTGCAGCTCAGAGTGGTGGGGATACACTCAGAGCATGCCGCTGAAGGACGGAGACAGTCGAGGGGCTGGATGGCACACTCAAGGGCCAGCCTGACCGGGAGCCTTCATACACGTTTCCCCAAAATTTTAATGTAATGTATCTTAATTCTAATAACTGAGTCATACTATCATGGGAGACTTGTGATGAGGTTCCTCCGTGGGTCTTTTCTCAGCCAGGAGTGATGTTGGTTGAGATTTGCTTTTATTGCTACAATTTATCAAGCACTATTCCAGTTTATCCAGTGTGCATGACACATGGCAAGGTAGGTTAAGACCAGAACTTTGTGGCTGTTAATACCAAACAGTTAGGCAAGAAAATGCGGAATACAGTTTGAGAAAGCATCAGTCATTTTAACTACACACAGGTTTATTGTTGATGGATTTTTTTCCATACAATCACAACATTGCAAAAATCCTTTAATCAGAAACTGATTTTTTACCATGTTTCATTTTCAGTGTCTAGGTTTTTTTAAAGGTTTTTCTTGATTCTTTTGGCTTTCTTTCTGTTTAAGTCATAGTCCTGTCCTTTGCCACTATTTTTTGTACCTGTTTTTAGGAGAATTTTCCTTCTGTCTGCACCCACCAGTGCCATTTCCTGCTTTGAAAGCGAATAATAATTATCTGCTCTTTGAATATAACTTTATCAACAGCTGTAGCTGATTTTGAGCACATATCTTATGGCGATAGCATAATTCCTTACTTGCCGGTAAGAAAGGAATGTAGGACTTTGCCTTGGTCAAAATACATAGAATCTACTCTTTATTTCTCATCTAGTAAGGGCTTTAGCTGTCAGTGACCTAATATGTTTTTGAAAAATCCAAATTTTGGTAGCCTTTAGCTTTGAAGGATTCAGAAAAGGGTAGTGTATTACAATTGTTCAATCTAGACACTAGATCTAGAAAGATAAGAATACAGAAAAATTCAGCTTTTCCCCTTTTCAGAAAAAGGTAGACCTTCCCCTTGCTGTAGTCTTCTGAGGTTCCTCTGCCTTATGTGATTTTTTTTTTTTTTTAAATAACTGCCTGTGTTTCAAAGGTTACTTGAATGAATATTTGTTCCATATATAAGTTGCCCTTCAGGTAACTTGCACCTTTTTAAACATCATGCAGACAATCCAACACTTTTGATAACACTTGCCAGTTAGATACTAGATACTACAGAGGGTTAGAGGTAGGGGAGAAAGAGAAGGACCAGAGCAAAAGTTTTATCATAATATTTACACATACATATTCCCAGTGCTGAGGAACCAGGAGTCATTCTTTAGTTTGGTGAGGCTTTTTGGTTTTCTACAAACAAACACAGTTTACCCGCATGAAAACACAAGAATTGCTTAAGTGTTCTGTGCTGAATTTCATCAGCCCTCTAACCTGAACTGTCTGACCTCGTAGAAGTGTTTCTCTTCCTGTATTTTTCCCTGTACTTTGCCCTATAGTCTTCACGTCAGAATTAATTTTGGCCATGTTTACAGAGCTGAAGGCAAGGTGGCCTTGAACCTTGCTGCCACTGGGAGCCAGCTGGCTGGAGGGCATCTCTGACCACCTTACATCTGATGAGCTGGACTTCTCGGCGGGTCCCATTAAATGCACCGAGCACCACGCAGGCAGGGTCACGCTTGCAGCTCAGAGGCAGCTTGTGCCTGGCAGTTCAGAGCAACAGCACAGAGAGCTCACGCCTGCCTGTCATTTCCTGGGCAGAAAGAGCTTCACATGACCACAGTCTCCCTCCTTCTGGGGACTCAAACAAGGAAGGCGTTTAATAATTTTCTGTACTTACCTGTACTAACTGTTATTTGAACCCCTGTCTCATATCATAATGTTTTCCTTTTGCTGGGGTTTCTTTTTGCTTACCTTATAACAAATTATTGAAACCTTTTATTGTGACTTATCATGTGCTTTGCTAATTAAAACTCATTTTCTGTTTTAACTTTTCTGCTTTTGTCTGCAGATGCTTGGTATCGCAGGGGGGCTTAGACACATCCTTTGTAGCATATACATTAACTTGTGCTTTTTCCGTGATCTCTTTTGCGTGTTTAGCTGATTGGAGATTGCCAGTGTGGTTACACTGGCCTGTCACCACGCTTTCCTTCTAAAGGTACTTGGACGTTTAGCATGATCTCCTTCAGTAACTGCCATCTCCTTGCCATCTACTTGTCCCTCAGTTTACTTTCCTGAGAGATCTCCTCTGCCTGTTCCCTGAAGCTGCTGGCCCTCGTGCTGCTGTGCTCATCTTTGCAGAATACCAATCTCATCCCGCACTTGCTTTCACTCCAAGCACTACACACCTGCAAAGTCTTGGTGAAGTATTCTCTAATGGAACAAAATCTATTTTATCTGTTGCCTTGAAAGTTTCATTCAGCTTCAGAAAGGAAGAAGTATCCTCGGTGCATTTACACACCTTTCAATCCTTCAGAAAAATCTTGGCTACCTTTGCCTCCTAGTGAGCTGAAGTGATGTTCCACAGCACTGAAGATCCTGCCGCCTTTCTCATACTTTGTTTAGCACCCACAATCCCTCCACCACCACTGTGCAAGTCCCAATAAAAGTTCAATGTGTTATTTTAACTGAATACTGAAAATGGTAATATCAGATTTGTCCTTGGTTGATAAAATCTCTATGAGAGCCTCTCAGAACTATTTCTTGCAGTATTCTTACTGGCTGGGGGTAGATTTTCAGTTACATATGAAAAAAACTGTCCTCCTCTTACATCATAAACATATAGTCATGAATATATAGTATTTCCTCATAGCCTGGTGTGAAACGAATGCCAAAAGCAATTTTGGGATTTGCTCAAAATCAGAAGACAGAATTTATTTTTTAATCTCAGCTGGGATGGAAGTATATGTAGTTTGTTAAGAGAAATCCTAAGTATATATGAGGAGTTTTAATATGGAATTTGTAGCAGGTATACCCACAGTTGGAAGAATCTCTGTCTCTACTTCTGAGAGGGCTCTTCCCCTGCACCTTTCTCCAGCCATCCTCCACCACAACTGCTACTCCTCCCTAAATAAAATCTGAGTCCCAGCCAGCTTCAGCTCAGGAGCTGCCTGAGTGGATATGGTTTCTATGTATTTAGCAACCCTCGCTGCATCCTTTTTCCAGAAGCTCAGCTTGAACCCATAAACAGAGGTTAAAGTTGTTGTTAGCAGGAAAATGATGTAGTTGTGCTCTTCTTCTTGGGCCTCTCCCAAGGTACACTTCATGCCTCTAAGCAAGGACTGTTCTCCATCCCTGAGTTTGAGAATATATATTTAAATTATGATGACTTTATGCTTTATGTAATTGACATTATTAAATCACTTTTATAGCTTCTTGCTTCTCCAGGATTCGCTGAGTGCTGCCATTCATTGTTTAGGGGTTCCTCTTCTTCTTTCCATTTGTGCTTTTACTGGTCACTTTGATTTCAGTGCCATTGTGAAGGAACAGTTGATAGGAGAATGACTTCTTGCTGCTCCATTACACAAAACAGCTTACCAGAAAACACATCCCAGCCTTTGAAGTTAGCTTCTGATAGTTTCTTTTTTACCCTTTAACTCATTGCTGTTGCTTGATAAATAGCAAGTTCTAAATTTCTCCTATTGAAGTTGATAGGTCATTGTTACAATAGAGATTTTTCACAATATATATTTAACCTGACAGTAGGTGTGAATGTGTCACCCTTCAGCTCTGTTGGTTTCCAGATTAACGTTAAAACAATTTTGAGGGACGTGGGCAGCAAGAGAGGTTACTGCTTTTGCAGCTGGGAGATCTTTGAGAAAAACCAGTAAGAAACAGAGAGTAAAGCAGAAGTTTTTCCTAAGGAAGCATTTGTGTTTTGAAATACCACTCAGACCAGTCCACGTATTTAATGAGATTAATTCATCTGCTCAGATAAGATATATTTTTCTGTATATGTGTGTATGCATATATATATATGAAAGTGTTATGTATAAAATACCGTAATCCTTTGCATTTAAAAAAAAAGTTGCCATTTGAAAAATTATGTGTATGAAAAATGCCTATATGGTCTTGTAGTCTTCATCTGGTAGAACTGAATTATCTTAACAATACACCCTTATTGTGTATTTGTCATTACACAATAGCGCAGTTTTAATAAGGATACTATTGAACTAGTTATTGACACTTTTATTTGCTTTCCATTAAAAAAAACCATATTTTAAATCACAATGGCTAGACAATTAGAAAAAAAATAGACTTGAACAAATGAAAAGAACGTTGATAACTTTGTGAAAACAGGTTGTGTTTCGTGGCATTTCTAAACAAATAACTCCTAGGAAAGAGTATTGAATATTAATATATACTCATGAAAACTCTCCAAAATCAAGAACTGAATGTAGCCTAAAGTATCTTCAGTCTTTTCACCTTCTAAAACTGATTCTTCGGGACATGTGAGAGGTATGTTACTAGGGAAGATGAAAAAGACAACCTCACTACCTAACCTTGTGTTTTTTGTTCCCTTAACTTTAAGAATATGAAGAACAATTTGTTCTTCTTTTTCAATGCCATTCTGACACTAGTGCAATAAACAAGCATAAAAAAGTAATTTTCTGTTTTGATGCCTATTTCAGAATTGTCAAGTTAACGGTACAATAGATCTACCAAAAATGTAAATTAACTCTGAAAACCAGTATCAATCCAAGGACTGTATAATGCTTACATTGTCTAACTTGAGTTCCCTACTTTTTTGTTTTGTCTATAGACACCCTATTTTTGGCCATCAAATTGTTGGGAGCCGGAAAACACAGACTATGGTCAGTGTAGAAATCTTTCCTATTTCTTTCGGGAATTATGTATTATATGAATGAACACATCATTGCAGTCTGTCTTGTTTAATCATCCCACTGTTAAAAACATAATTATATGTCATATGATTCCTGTGCAAGAATTGCTGCTATTGAAATGAATGTGTTGTTACCTTTTTAAAAATCTACTGAAAGTTTATTAAAGTCAGATTTGGATTTGACCTGAGGAATAAAAAAAAACGCTCAAAACTCATCAAAAACTCCCTTGCCATTTACATCTTCTGTTTGCTCCAACAAGTGTAATTATTTACAGTGACAAAGTCTCAGTGAAGCGGAGGACACCTAATTGATGGTTGTGCCATAGTTCTTCTCAGACTAAGACCCAAAGATGTGCCTAGGTTTGATCTCTTATTTCTGATATACGTCAAGTGGAAATTTATTTATTATGGAAACTAGTGTGGCTCTAATATAAACTATATTAGAAAATACCTTGTTTATTTGCCTGTTTCTTGGGGTTTTATTCATAAATTACACATTGTAATTACTGATGTGTGCTTAGGCAGGAAAATCCAAAGATATTAGGTAGTAAAGTATTACAAAAAAACTCATAAAAAATTATAACCAAAATTAGGTGCCTCTGTACACCAAACAGTGACTGAATTGTTAAAGAAAATGGATTATCTATGAACAGTCTCCTGTTCATTCTAATCCAGACTGTAAATACTCAGCTCATCTGATGACCAGGTAACTTATTTAAGTAACTAAGCATGCACGTGATAGGTTACCTTATCAAAAACTAAAACTTTGAAAGTCTCTATTTACAGCTTTTCAGAAATATAGATGCGTGTTCACTTGTAATATGGATTCAATCTCAGCCTTTGGGAGCTGAAGACTGCAGGGATGGATGGGTCCAATAGACGCTTCATTCCTTTCCTCAGCGGACACAGTTTTATTTCATATATGTTGCTAAATAAAACAATTCCAAGCTGAGACTCTCAGCAGAGCTGGGTGCCTTCAAGGTAGAGTTTAAAAATGGTGACAGTTTCCTCATTGTATAGAAGGAGAAAAATGTTCATCTTTCTTTAAAATACTGAGATTTGAAGATGCCAAGCAAATAATTATTGAAAGCCACAAAGGAAGAGTAATTCATATCATACCTGAGTGATTAGCCACTCCATATGAAGAAATTGGTTGCTGAAGGAGAAATGCTTGATTTACCATGTATTAGAATGTTTTTTCCTTTCCTTGAAAGTGTTATTTGCTTTTCTCAGAGGAGCACTTCAGTATAGTCTCCTAATATGTTAAAGATCAGAAAGTAATTTACTATGGTTCTAAGAGACATTGAGTTGCTCAGCTGTAATGTGTATTTCATTACCAGGGGGGATTTTAATAAGTAAATATATGCTTAACAGGTCTGAACTTGAGATCAGGCTGAGAAAGTTTCTGTTAATATCCTTTAATCTAAATTAGGAGACACTAACTTTCTAGTCACAGCTAAACACTGGATTAGGGAATGAATTACATACCTTAGTCAATAAATAGGATCTTATATAATCTGTCCAGTTTTTGCATGCCAGAAATACAGAATTAAACTTGGGATCAGTTTCTTCATCGTTCTGGGAGATGCCTTTGTTAAGCAGTAGACTCATTTGAGAGCTTTTGAGATTTAAATATTAGACCTGTAAAATATGTTCCAGTTGGTGAATTTAAGCACTTCTGTTGCAGAGGGGTGAAGGAATGAAAAGCCCCAGCCCTGCCATCTCATTGCTCCTTCCAAGCCATGAGCCAAAGGTGCAACCCTGTAAGAAACCCAGCTGCAGCTACCCCATGCAACAGGGTCAGAGCATTGCACTATATCTGCTCAAGGTGGCTGTGTGTCACCAGAATTGGCTAATGCTAGAGCATTTGCACAAAAATAAATTTTTAAGACAACTTTTCAACAGTGTTCTTATTAGGTTAGCATCTTCCCAGTCCAAGAAATTAGTATTTGCCTTGTAGCCTGAGAATCCTTCTATCATGGGGTTACAGCATTGGTGGACAAAGTATGGGCAGCTGACATTGTGTACCTGGGCTTGTGCAAGGCATTCGACACTGTCCCGCATGATGTCCTTATCTCTAAATTGGAAGTACATGGATTTGACAGATGGACCGCTTGTTGGATAACTAACTGGTTCAGTAGACGCACTCAGAGAGTTGCAGTCAATGGCTCGATGTCCAGGTGGAGACCAGTGATGAGTGGTGTACCTCAGGGGTCAGTACTGGCCCCAGTGCTGTTTAATATCTTTGTCGGGGTCATGGACAGTGGGACTGAGTGCACCCTCAGCAAGTTTGCCAATGACACCAAGCTGTGTGGTGTGGTTGACACGCTGGAGGGAAGGGATGCCATTCAGAGGGACCTGGACAGGCT